TTGAAAGTGGTGCACGACTTCCGTAAGATGACCATACCTATGTATATGGTGCCGCCATTGACATCATCCAAGTATAGGTGTTTTCAATTTCCGTCAACATATTTCTATTCTACCGTACATTTGGCAATGTCAAAATATGTCAAGTATTCAAATTTAAACCAAACTATCAGTTAGGCATTTTCGTCGATCAAGTGCTTGTTAACACTAYTACTACTACTAGCTACTGATATAAAAAATGAGCCTAATAAAAAGGGGTTCTTTTTTCTACTCTTTTATAGTAGGAGAAAGGATCGAAAACCGGAGTACGTGACTTTAATCCACTAAATCGAACCTACACCCATTTTATATCTCTCCCACAGGACCATTGGACTAATTATAATTATAACTTCATGGGAGAAGGCATTTAAGTCTCTCTATTGTACGGCCTGATTGACGTTAGCATAATTAGAGCTGCCGCTTCGCCGACAGCTTTTCATTTTACAGAGGACTCGCACATAATTGAAGTCAAATTTTCCACTGTGAGACCACCTCCAAGTGTGGTTTTCAGCTTTTCCCTTATACTTGAAAACCGAAGGCAATGATAGAGTACGTGCTCAGAGTTTTCTATACGCTCCGTATATGTCGGACTATAAGGACTAAAGTCATGATTCATTTTTTAATAGGTCGCTTTTAAAGCACCCATAGCCACTGTGGGTAAAGTGTGCATCGCGGCGTCATTTGATATGGTTCGGAAAGCACTTATTCATGATTCTATATCTTGCACCTGTATCCATTACCTTAGCTTTTAAAGATCGTCGGCTAGAACGCACACAGCCTTTATTTGCTAGCATTATAGATTTTATTTGCTTTACATGTCATATTCTCTAACTGCTCCTTGAATTTGAGTTTGGAGTTCAACTATCACACCACCAAAGTACTTCAAATCTGGCTGTGAAATAATCTCACATTCTCCATGAGCGATATCTTCTCTTCAATTTTCCTGGACCTTATGAGCAAGGCTTCTTTTTTCTTCCTAGCCAGTTTAGACACATGGTAGAAAATCATCGCCGCAAACCATTTATGCAGTCATTTGATCTACGAAGTATAGAATTCCTCAAAATCAAACTGCTTACAATATGAAAAGTATCGAGTACCGATAAATTTTTATGCGTATTAGATGCGCATAGGGCGCATCTCTATTTTTTGTGATGCTCAAATCCAAACAATCCAAGCAATGCCGCTTTTTGCTTTTTTCTCTTGTTTTTCAAATGATTTTTAATGATTATCGAGGAGTTGCTGCGGCCACTTTCAAATAAATCTAAAAAATTGTTAATAAATAAAATTATATTCACATTTGCCGCCATAGCTGTTGGTTGTTTTGAAAACAATTGTCACAAAATGTCAAAGTTGATACAAAGCAAATTGAAACAAAGCAGTAGGGTTGCATTGTTGATWWTGTATAAATTCGGTATCGGTATCGCAACAATGCAAAGCAACATGCAACTTGGAACTCAGCCATTGCTTTCACTAACCTAAAACGGAGCATTGCAGAATTGAACACATTCTTCAAATACAGGGTTATAGCGTGCAATATTTTTTTTACCACCTCCATCCTTTCCCACTTATTGCACATTTCGGAGCATCAAATACTTTTCTTAGTGTGTTAAATGTGGAACTATTTTAAAGCCATATAGTCAATATGGCAGATAATCTGCCAGCTGTTTGAACTGCTAACTTCAAGCGGTTTCTTATTATGCTGTCGTAACTACATTCTACCAGACGTGCCGAGCATGCACAGAGGTCGATATGATGAAGATTCTTTGAGTGACTTTTTTGGTTTTGGGAGTAGAGCCAAATGCTGTACATATTACAGATCGGGGAACACCACTTCTATTATACACGCATTATATATTTTAACAAACATTCTGCGTCTTAGCGTCATGACTTCTTTTAGGGATATATTTGGTATATCATCTGTTGCAGGCGCTTTGCTGTTTTGGATTTATTTCGGAACAGCTAATAGTTCTCTAATAGAAGTGGCTCTGTAGCGTCGTTTCGCTTAACATAGGAAATGGGGTTATGTGTCGACAAGGTTTCTCATAAATACATGTTGCGTCTTTAGGTTGCTGCTGGTTAGAACTTTTAGAAATTGTAATTTTGGAATAAATGTAATTTCTCAGAAATATCATGCTACCTTTTAATCAGATTTTCCCAAATAATCTATAGTACCATATAGAAAATTGTAGTCCACCCTTTATTATTGGTTGGGCTTAATCTTTTCTGAGCAATTTTAATGTGTTCTCTGATAAACCAGAAACGAAATAAACCAAAAAGATTAAAACAAAATCTTCGCAGCAATTTCCAAAAGCGCAGGTATTTAAAAACTTACAATTCACATGCTTTTATTTTGATAAGCTATAATGGAAACTGCAATTTAACAGTCTTTGATCCTTTGCAGAACTTTTACTTCCAGCCGATTTCACCTAGTAGCGCGTCCAAACACACGTATCAGTGTGTGTATTTGTGTAGTTAAAATCTTAAGCCTACTTTTGCACAGCACTACATACTGTACTACTATAGATATGCATGTATGAAGAGGCATACAGATGCTTCAACATAAATGCTATTACGTGTGAAAAGTTGCTTCTGAGAACGTTTAATCAAGCTCACTGAGGTAAGAAGCTGCAGCTCACTCGGCGCCACACGAGAAATAATTTTCAACCGGAAGTTGCAGTGCAGCGTAGTTGAAACACCTCAATGGAATTTGCGAAAATTTGGCCAAAGTGAGGTTGTTTACATTTGTATGTATTTGTATGTGGTGTGAATGTGTGTGTGTGCGTGTGTGCGTGTGGCGGTGCAAAATGCAATCAGCGCGTCAAGCACTCACATGTAAACTTACGCTGAGCCGTAAGCAGCAACCGCCGCCGCCTCCTAGTTCTTACTGCAATTTCACTCATACGCCACGCTGCCTCTAAAGAAGGCTGCTGCCGCAGACGAACAAACGCACACACACAGATAACACATCACATTCTTAAGGTAAGTCGTCTATAGGCAATCTGATGAGCTTGCAGTTTGCACAAAGCACACATGCACGCATGCACACATACATATATGCACATATCTACTTGTAGATGTTTCCTATACCCAGTTTCTTCGGCGTGTTCGACACATGACGCTCGGCATCGCTGCAAGTTGCTCTTATTCTTTGGCAAATTCCACTTGCCCGCTCCAACATGCTCACCCATAAGTAGGTATCCACCGACGTGCCCAAACTTTTGTAAGACTTTCCCAACTTGCAGTACATAAGCTAAAGATAGCGAGCGGAAAAGTTGATCGCCGCGTATATTTCACTCTGTCTGCTCAAAGCCGAGTTTTATTGTTTTGCACAAGTTATAATTGTTGTTGGTATAGTTAGTTGTTGTTGTTGTTGCTGTTGTTTTTATTGTTTCTAAATGCGAAGCCGCTTGTTATCTCACTCGAAAAGTATTGCAGGCGTGCTACCATAGATTACGATTTAAATGCAGTAGACGTTGATAAGACGCTTGTGAGGGGTACATAGCATGTGCGTATATATTACGTAACTAATATTTTCTTTAACACTAGAAAGACGGGAGCTTAGTATATACCTATATAGCCTGAAAGCAGTCAAAATGACTGCATTGTAAAAAAATAGCTAATGCGCAAAGAAATTTGTTTAGCATTAATCTTATTATAATTTATATCACTTAGAGTTATATAAGAAGTTATTTAAAAGTATTAAGAAAAAAAACTGTATTTCAGTGAAAAAAAAGTTATACATTATTTGCACATTTTAAGCAAATGAAAGTGCAAATCTTTTTGGATGTACATCTACCACAAACATATTTTTTACATTTTGGACAAATATTATTTGTTTTGTAATTGTGACAAAGTCGTATTTGACAAATTTTTCGTTTGGTAGAGTCTGTTGTATTTGAAGACGTTGCAGTTAATACTTGTGGGTCTTCCTCCTGTGATGAATGTTTCCCTCTTTCAGTTCTGTAATCGACGGCGAGCTGTTCTGCTAATTGAAACAGGAACTGCTTTCATTCTATTTGTATTCCGGTCACTTCTTTATAAAGGATGCAAGCATTTATTGCAGCCAAATCTAAAATATTAAAAAATATTTGGAGGGGCCATCTACGAGAACTAGATTTCACCGTATATTTTCTGGCCATTTGATCTGTCATATCAACTCCATTTTTCTATTATTTTTATAAATTTTTACAAATTTATGCCTAGAACTTAGAACAGCCACTCTTTTTTTCGGTTTGCTTTTATATATTGTAAGGACACAATTTTCTGATCTGTAGAAGATAGTGGAAAAACGAGGCTTGTTATCCTTCGGCTCTTTGGCTGCTTTGGGTAATTCTCTTTTATTTCCTCTAATAGTTCTAACTAATGTAGTCTTTTTGGCTAATAATTTCGTCGCTAGTGACATGCTCATAAAAAAGTTGTCCGTCGTGACATTTCTTCCGCAGCCTGTATATGGATCGACAGGTTTCAGAACCACGTATTCGCTTAGAGGCAATGACGATGGTCGTTGTTCATCTTTCCCCAAATAAGCGAAACCATGCAACACGTACTTGCTAGTAACGTCTGATGCAAGCCAGAATTTGAGGCCAAATTTATTCGGTTTATTAGGCATATATTGTATAAACTTGCACCTAGCTTTGTTGGAAATAATTGTTCGTCAACTGTAATATTTTGGCCTGGTTGATAGCAAGCTTGACTGTTTTCAATAAACTTGTCCCATATTTCCGAAACCMAGGCAAATTTATTTGTTCGGATTCGTGTACTTCTTTCAGTCCTTTTGTCAAAACGAATAAAACGTAGAATTTGCTTGAACTTATCTCGGGACATAGTTCTTCTGAAAAATTCGGGACCCCACTTGACTGACCATAAATAACTTAGTTTTAAATTTTTTGCTTCATAGGCTCCACGAGCATATAAAATGCCAATAAAAGCACGTATTTCTGGCAGTGTAGTTGTCCAATCATAATCTAAAATTCGGCCGGCTTCTTTTCTGTGCACTTTTTTATATGTTTGATAATATAATCATTTAYTATCAACGAGAATGCACTGRCAAGATTATTTACCATAACGTTCCGTTTTGCRTATYYTRTTGRTCCTGGCATACCCTTGAAAATACACGAAGAYGGTAGCCTTCCGGCAATACCGCCTTCGTCAAATTTTGTCCACACAGTACCATCTGCAGCTGTTTCGGTATCCTGATAGGTATTWKCAGTTTCTTCATCTGAACCAATTAGCGCCCTAAGCYTTTTCTTGRGCACATTGGTGACATCTTCATTTTCATCATTGGTGGTCATCTCTTCATCGCTCTCTTCATCATCAGATGTCTCACTTGGAATATGATCTGATTCATCTTCAGATGATAGTTCCCACCTCGTTGCATTTGATTCTATATCGGAATACTCTTCCTCTATCTTTCTTAGCTTTTCTAAAAGTTCTCTTCTGTTGGACATTTTTTTTATGAACTTAGGGTGCGAAAAAAATCAACTGAACAACGTGTTAGAATGACTGAAAGTGCGAAAAGCATACCTGAAGRGATCAAAGCACGTGATCAGACCTGGTATAATGATTCGAAAAACAAGTTTGAATAACAATGACAATAACTTTAGTTATTGAACATGTTATCATGTGATTCCAACTGGTCTTTTCSAAGCAGTCAAAATGACTGCTTTTCGGCAACATAGGTATAACACACATATATTTATATTGGAAGAGATGTAGGGGGGTAACAACAATGATTAATCAATCAATTTATATGTTGTAGAAAAAGTCACAAAATTATAAGAAGTTATGTTATTATTTATATCATTATTTTTTAAATTGAAACTCAAAAGCAGTCAAAATGACTTGCTTAGGCAATCTAGTGTTAAATCCAACTATACTCAACTTTAAGAAAAGCTAAAACTTGAGGAAAAAAAAACGTTGATGACTAATTTATGGTATTTTACCATATATAAAGCCCTTCTTCTTAATTGGCAAAGACACCGCTTATGCGGATATAACCGAATTAAAACTCATCAGCTGTATCTGTATGAATATCTATTAAAAATGATTAAGGGCAAGTAGTTCAGTGGATGGCCGATGGTCTAATCCAGACCAGAAGGATCTGATAGTTGCGTAGTGGCTGGTCGTCAATCAACGCTTGCTAAGCGCATGCGTAGATTCAGTGCTGAAACAGTAGATGACAACTGAGTAAGGATGTCCCCTCTTGCTAGTTCATCGCATACAGAGTCTCCATTGATCCCGCTATGGCTAGGCGAACGAGTCTGATATAAAGTACCTTGATGTATAAAGAGGTTAGACATTCTTTGACTAACTTCGAGAAGTAAGTCTACTGTTACTTTAACAGCAGCCACTAACGTACAAATGACACTACACTAATCCGTAAAGCTAAAAGCTAAAAGCTTTACTCTCCCAGCTTCAACCCATCCATGAAAAAAACTCATTGTGCCTCTTATCCCCGTTTTCATTTCACTCGTCGGTATGTGAACGAAGAGACAATCACTGTAAGTAGATTCTGCGATGCACTGATCAAAATTTTAAAGGATGTAATTGAATCTGTACCGACGATGGTGATGGGAGCTGCTCTTCGGACACGTTGAAATTTCTTTGTATATATAGCTTTTTCGAGCGCCTTCTACCAGAGAATACTATTAGCTTGTCAATGGTTGTAAGGGTTAAAACACCACCTTTAGTGAGAGTCCCCATCTCTTCGCTATACTCCCTCTGCAGCAATATATGGCAATTTACCCTCCCCTCAATATGTGATCTTGAAAAAGTTCTATAAAGGATAAGACTCAGATTTCTCACCTTAGCAATAGCCTCCAAATAAAAGAAGAGGCACGTTCGGAATTTTATATGCAATGAAAATCGTAGTATGATATTACCTATGGAAAAAAATAAGATAAAATAACATAAATACAAGGAAAAATAAATTACGTACGGTCTGAAAAGGGATGCTTAATAATATCTGCTAATTTGCTGTAACGCCATGTATACATATCCTTCAAATTTTTCTGAATGATTCTGAAAACAGGTTCATGGGGTAATGATTTATTTTAAAACAAGGATTTTCTGCTTTCACGTGGATAAATTAATCGTTTTGCGTCTCAAACATTGTGCAACTTTTTGGCCTTGTAATATATATTTTTTCACTTAATTTTGACTTAAAATCGAAATTGGATTTTAAATCTTAGTACAAAATATCCAAATTTTTGGATTTCAAGGAAATAAAAAGTTAGCATGAGTATGCTTTGATCGTTAGTGAGTTGAAGAATTTCAAACTATGAAGAAGTTCGAAAATAATTTTTTAGGTATATGGGGACTAAGGACCTTTTATCCACATATTCGGTATATGGGTACTTGTACAGTTTTGGTCCTATTTGCACAAATTTCGGTTATGAGGTGGCCCATTTTATACGTAATATTTAGGCAAACTTTTTTTGAATATGTGACACCAGTGCTTATGGCTCGCTTTTTACTCAAAATATCGGTCAATATATCAGATATGTAATTGAAATTTGGAGATAATTATTTAGTGATAATAGTATGTTCGTATGTCAGAAATAGATAGAACTGGGTCAATACTTGCTTTAGGCCCCATATATCAATATTATGACGCCTACCATATATGAACCTAATACAAGATTTTTAAATATCCGGTTGGCTTTATTTTGTATATATGGCACCAGGAATAAAATGGAGCATCTCTTGTGCACTTATCCACATTGCGATTGGGGCTCCAATGTATGAGGCACTGTAAGGGTTATCACAGTCAGGTCAAAGGCTATTGAAACTCGCATCAAGCGCAGGCATCTTATAAGTTATAGTGGTTCTGGTTACTGAACTTCATCTGGTATCGCAAAGAGCCGAAATTGGTATATGCTTGGCTCATTTACCTACCAGACTAACCTAAGGTATCTCGACACTCATATACTATATATAATAAATTTCATTATGACGGATGCGTGTAAACATATTCTCAAGTATACCTGAGAAATGTCAAAAGTTAATGCAATCAGTGCCTACTTTTCTCTGCACTTACTATACACTATCTAGGTATTTCCGATTTTTAACCTGACTTTAAAGCATTTACCATTTCATAGGTTGGTCAATGTGTGTGACATTTTAATTAAACTAAATGGAAAAGTTTTCTTCAAAATTATGTGGTTTATAATATCACTAATTTAATCAATACTGATGTTCTAGTAGACGTCTTACATATCAATCCAATATATAAGGTTCATATAATTTCTTGTCAAATTTGTATATATTATTTGAAAACGATTTTAAAATATAAATATAACAAAAAACTAAGTGATTCTATTACCTATAATATAATTAAATTAAGTACCAAATTTGATTGTAATCCATTTACGATTTAATATAATAATAAATATATAAATAATAACTAATGTAAAACTATAACTTTTGGTCTCCATACTAATACAATGATCATATATAAGAGAAGGTGTTTGTATGATTCCTCTCTGGTTCACAACTAGATCCGAATTTATTTTCAACTTATAGTGCTTTAGGCTCCTTAGAAAGGAAATGAATTTATTTCGAATAAAAAATATTCATTTTATAGATTATTACAATCGAATTCAAATTGGAGAAACTGAAGTACAGAAATTTTGATCTAAATGTCCTTATACAAGTATACTATGTAACAAATTTTGTAATTTCAATCTAAAATTTTCCGACTTAAAATAGAACAATTATATTCAAGTTATTTGTCAATTATACATTCGAGTAAAATCCTTTTAAACAATTAAAATAATTAATTTTATTGTTGGCTTGAGAATTTAGAATTGTTTAATATTTTAAACGGACTATGTTATCGTCATTAGACTGTCTAATTATATAACATATGTTCAACTTCTTTGTATATTTATCTGTTCAAACATTGTTCAGGCCACTTGCATAGCTGTATCGCTTGTTTACATGCAAAATGGTATAACTATAGAATATAAAAGTGGTCACTAATACTTCAATATATTGAAATTGTGAATGAAATGAAGTGAAATAAATGTATTGCTTAGACACAAATCTGTAAAATATACCGGTAGGTTGCTTTTGTAAACAGTTAATCATGCAAATAGACTTGCTTATGCATAAAAGTTCTAAATTTTTCATAATTCGAGTTATGCCATTCTTCAAGTAAATGTGATATATGCATTTCATTGTGCACATATGTGCAGTGAGTACACAAAAACCCATTAACGGTCATTAATATTAAATGCCATATCGCGTTCTTTTGTGCTCCGTTTCCGTGCGCGATTTTCTTTTGTGCTACGGCGCGCGTTTATAATATAAATGCATAATGAAATTCATAAGTTTGGCAAATGAAACTAAAACGAAATGAAAATTTTATTGTGCAATAAAATTGTTGACTCTGTGCACACACACGTGTACAGCCATGTGTATGTGCTAATAGTGCAGTGCACTTTGCAATTTCTGTCGGATGTGCCGGTTGCCAATTTCACGTTGTACATCCGTTATGGCGCTGCCACGTGGAAGTGAGATAGCGGTGTTGCAACCAGCAGAGTCCTTTGCCTGCTGCTACTTGAATAATGCACGAGTTTTCATGTGACTGTGTGGAGGAGCGCTTTTATCATATCCCCTGGAATTTTCTGGCATTTCCAGCCATCAAATCAGAGATTAAAAGAGGTTAAAAGCCCAATTTTCATTACAATTAGTATGACCAACTGACCGGACATGTTGCTATAGCCAAAATTACTGTTAACCGTTGTGCTCAGCGAGTGGACAATCATACATACGTACATGTATTTGTACTATGTATGGAAATGTTCATCAGTTTGTTCATTAAAAATAGCTTTGGGAATGAAATAATGAACGAAATATTAAAATGCGAATATAACATTATGGTAGACTTTCTAGAAGTGTATACCACATGATTTGTTAATTTAAAGAATCTTAAAGGGGTTACATGGGTTTCGTCTGGTGAAAACTGCATTTTTTCAAACTTTTTTTTCTCATATTCTTCTTCTTCTTGATTGGCSTAGACACCGCTTACGCGATTATAGCCGAGTTAACAACAGCGCGCCAGTCGTTTCTCCTTTTCGCTACGTGGCGCCAATTCTCCACTTGGTCCTTCCAACGGAGTGGAGGTCTTCCTCTTCCTCTGCTTCCCCCGGCGGGTACTGCGTCGAATACTTTCAGAGCTGGAGCGTTTTC